ATCAAGAATATCGAGAAATTGAGATTAAACAACATGAGTATACAAGACAAAAAAAGCGAAAAATGACAGAGATGCTTGTGAATCTACCAAAGAAGCACATGGAAAGCAATGATCGAAAGAGAGCCTTAGCGACGCTCTAAAAGATGAGGAGAGAGGAGACAGCTCTACGCTAGAAATCCCATCTTGCATTACATGGTTGTGCAGAAGATCTTGATCCATTGTTGTTTGCGGATCATCTTTCATCTTCGGTTATGTTTGTGAAGAGGTTTATTTACTCATCAAATAAACCGTGTACGCCAATTATGTTTGATTTGTGTACTAACTAGAAAATAGTAAGTTTGAATTCGATGATTAAAAAAATAACGATTCGAGTTTGATCTCTGTTTTTTCCATAAATTATGTTGTATGTGGTATCTTTCGCTTATTAGAAGGTTTTTTGGTTGATCGTGTTACATATGAAAGCTTGGTGAAAATGTAAGTCAAATATTTGCTCCTTGTGATATATGTTGGTTAATGTTCTTTTTTACATTCATTATGGATTTGTTATTCGACTGGATTGTTATTGTTATCGGCTCATCGCTAAGCCTCATTCACATTGTCGTGGTCTAAACAGATGAAGAGTATGACTGTATGACTATGAGCAAGAAATAAGAAACAAATACGCAACCTAATCATAAAATCATTTAACTTGAGTAACCCAAGTTACATGTTATACAAATACAAGCAAAAAAAAAGAGAACAATATTGACGTTGTAAAGATCCCCAATAATAAGGATTGATTGACGATAAATTTTGTCTCTTTGTTCTTTCATAATTATGTTACTGGTTATAATTTTTTTTTAATACATTATAATCTGTGGGATAAATTTATAAAATGAACTAATCAAATCATGTAGTTAGACATGTAAGCTAAGTTTATGGCATGTACGTATTTATTCAAAGTTTTTATAAAATAAACACTAAATGTGATTTGGTGAAATGTGATTGCACACACTTAGTTTTATATCTCTGAAATTATGACATGTGTTGTTTAAAGATGATGATAGTTACTTATACAAAATTAACATTAACTGACAATTAGAAGATTTTAGTTAATTTTTCGTGAATAAAATATTAATTAGTCGTTTATCTAATTTACAAGATGACTAAACTTCTACTCGGAACTCTACAACCATTCAGTATGATAGTCTAAGGTTTTATGCTAGACATATATGTTTCCGTACGAAGGATCTGAATCCAATCCAAACAATTAGCACTAAAGAGAGTAAAGACAACGTGTTCCACCGAAGGAAAAGACAAGACATATTATTTTAGAAAAAAAAATCTTATTATTTATATTTGAACATTACACTAAAACCAAATAAATTCAAGTGTAAGATCATCGATCAAGTTGTTTTATGAAAATATCAAATTTACGTTTTTGTATCTAAATTTATACTTTGATGCTAGTGTTTAGGGTTTATGTATTGTTTTCAATAGTTACATGCATTTATGATGGTTTAGGCTCCCATGTTAGGGTTGAACACCCCTTAAATTTTTAAAAACAATAATGGTGTAATGTTAATGAATAATTTTAAACGTTCGGTTCAAAAAAATTGTAGTGAAAAGTATAAATAAATATTGATTTCTAA